CCCCCCCGTGAGACCCCGTCCAGCCACCCCCCCGCCCCTCCCAGCCCTTCGTCCTCCAGCTGCTCACCCCGCCCGGCGTCCCGCGGAGGGCCGGCCCCGGTACCAAGTGTCCGGGCCATCGTCTTCTGGGACCCCCACCCCTGGGACCTCCGGGGAAACCCCCCATCCCTGGGACCCCCAGGGAGAGCCTGTCACGGGGCGATGCTCTGGAACTGCTCCCCACAAAGCCAGGCAGGACTTTGGGGAGCCTCCTCTCCCTCGGAGCAGACCGTCTTCAGGGCACGGAGCTCACACGGCTTCACCTCCTGGGTCTGACCCCGGAGCATTCAGCCTCCCCTGCCCCACTTCTCCCATCCCGGGCCAAAGGTGTCACCTGGTCACCCCCATCCCGGGTCTCCGGTTACACGGGTGCAAACAGCTGGGCAGCCTCACCTGCCCCAGGACCTCAGCAACACCCCCCCCTAATTCCCACCCTCGAGATATGGGTGCAGCACACAGGGAAACTGAGGCAGGGCCCGTATTAGTACAGGGCAGTAAGACTCACATGCAATATAACAAGATGAAGAAACCCCCCCTTGGCCCCAGAGCCCTGCCTCACTAGGACCCCGGAGACCCGTAGCCCCAGGCCTGGAGCTCTGGGTCTGGGCAGAAAACACCCCCCCACACACCTAGTAACCAGGCACCACATCGGGAAACCAAGGCACACACAGTAGTCATCCAAAATATGAAAGATTCCCACTTTGTCACCCCCACCCCGCTGAGCCCCATGGCCCCTTCCCGCTCCCGCCCAGCCTGTGCCCTCTCCGCAGATCGGCGTGTGGCACTCGAACAGGACGCTGGCCATGAACACCACCACGCTGGCCATGGACGTCTCCGAGAGCCTGGCGAACAAGACCCTCATTGTCACCACCATCCTGGTGAGCCCGGCATGGGGGGGGGGGTCTGCGGGAAGCCCAAGGGTGGGGCGGGGGCTGCCTCCGGACTATCTGGGGAACCTCACAGCGCCGCAGGGCTCTGCTGGGGGGAAGCTCGCAGGGCACTGTGCGGGGAAGCTCACAGCGCCGCAGGGCACTGCTGGGGAAGCTCGCAGCCGGCACTGACCCCCCGCTCCCGCAGGAGAACCCCTACGTGATGCGCAGGGCCGGGGCGCAGGCCCCGGGGGGTGCCGGGGAGCAGTACGAGGGATTCTGCGTCGACATGCTCCACGAACTCGCCGGGATCCTCAAGTTCCGCTTCCAGCTGCGGCTGGTGGAGGACGGGCTGTACGGGGCACCCGAGGCCAACGGCTCCTGGACCGGCATGGTGGGCGAGCTCGTCAACCGGGTACGGCCCTGGGGCGTGGGGGGGGGG